CTCCCCGAAATAACGAGCGTCACACCCCCCCGTGCGCCGCCCACTCAAAACACTGCCGCATAGGCCTCACCACGATCGTAAGCAGCCCCACGCCTGTAAGTCGGAGAAACTCATACCTGATTGGCCGAGCACGACCAGTGCCGACTACAAATAGGGAGCTTCAGTGGCCAACAAAATTCAAGTTTCGTTACCATTCTGTCATTTGAACGAATTGGTGCCACACATCAGGAAGACAGTACGCTGTAAGTCCACTTGTTAAGTTATCATACAGAGTATAATGCTTATCGTTGAAAATTAACCAAGCAGTAATTAGAAAGAAAAGGATGCAACAAGGATGGAACAACAAGGAACAACAAGGATGCAACAAGGATGGAACAAGAGTTTTATTTGCCTGACGTTTCGGATTCCGTCTGGAATCATTAATCATAGGTGATGGTAACACAGTCCTGGTCATGCGCAGATAGGGTCACGACCAAGCAGAAATTGTTTAATTTTCCATGTTTTAAACAGGAATTGCACCTTGTGTCCGTAATGTCGAGATCACCCAGCCACGAATTTATTCAAAATAGGAGACGATGAATAGTAGACCCACTGCTAACCCATCTGAAGAAACAGGAGAAGTAGATAGTGCAAAATATCAGGTACTCAAAGGGATAGGTAAGTATAATTCGTACTGAAGATAGGACAAAACATAGGTCGAATCATATAGCCACTAGTCTTTTTAGAAACACTTAATCATAACGATGCCACTTAAAAAGCATTTAAGGACGTTTTCGGATTCCCATTTAAGTTATTCTATTTTTCAAATGAGCGGCTCATAGGAAAACTTTAAATTAAAAAAATGACCGGAACCTCAAGATAGAGGCTTCTTAAAAGGCATACGTAGACCTCTTCGTAAAGCAGTCTCCATTTTTATCCTGTGGAAAACCTTATTTCACCTATTCTCTCATTTCGCTTATCCTTTTTTATAAGATCAAAAATGCCACAACAGTCGAACGTTGGACAAGCTCTTAGAAGCCAGCAGCTGGGTCCTTCAGATGCGGGCCTCAACACACCTTTCCATCCGCTCATTGGGCTGAAATTGGCCTCCAGCACTCCGAAGAACAATGACTCCGGCTTCGATGAAAACCTCACACAAACGGGGAGCTGCCCCTTCCAGCAAAACTACTCAGCTGATTCGTGTTTCCAGCATCCGGACCCCGACTCCGAGAACAGACAGCCATTGTCAAGGCATCATCACCAGAAAGAGCAAGTCGGGTACCGATTTCCAGAGCCCTTGACGTTTGCGACGCCTCCCTCTGCATCCAACGGCCCCTTTCATTTCGACATGTCGATCCCTTTCATCGTCCCGCCACCGGCACTTCTACTCTCAACGCCAGTGTTGCAGTCCATTCCACTCCTCAGTCCCACTGGTTTCTACTGGCCGTCACTCACACCACAACCGACCGCCGGTAGATGGTCAACGCTGGGAAGCCCAGGCCAGTCGTCAGTCGCGCCCCGTGTCTACGATGCG